AGCTAGGGGTGGTTGACACACCCACCTCTGACTTGTGCTTTGCTAGCTGCTGACCTTGAACTTGACTGTCCTGTAGATTTAGCCCCAGCTTGTGTTGCCAGTGGTGACCTCACAGGTGGCTTTCTGGGTGTTAAGTAGACTCTTCTTTGTTTTTACATGGGAGTTCACTCTATCACAGTTGCTGCAGTCTGTTTTGGTTACCTCATATTTAACAGTTCAGCTTGCTACAAACTGCATTAGATGCAAGAGTGCATGAAAGCAGGGGTGGAGAGACGGTTCAATGACTAAGAACACTGTTGCTATGGCAGAAGACCCAGCACCCACATGGCGGCTCACAACTATCTGTAACTCCAGTTCCAGGGGGATCCGATGTCCTCTGCTGACCTCTGTGGGCACCTGGCACACACATGGTGCACATGCATACATGTAGGCAAAATACTCATTCACATAAAATGCAATTAAATTTACAAAATGAGGGAGAGGGAGAATAATGATGTCTTATGTTCCTCAAGGGCCTCAGGGTGGAGGGCAGCTGGCTTGCCATCCCTGCAGAGCTCTGTTCCTCCCATCCGTGTAGCTCCATCGTTTCACACCCAGCTACAAGCCCTTTTATCTACCTTCTGCCCTCAACCTTGCTGCCTTAACCCCAACCTCTGTTTGCACTGTGAGTAACAGTTTTCACTGCAGGCCTTTTCTCTTGCTATGTACAGACAGCTAGATCACTTTCTCCATCTATCGTAGATGATGTTCCATGCTCTGACATATGTTCCATGCACTCACATATAGCCTGAGGTTGTTGGACAGAATGTTCTATGGGTGTCTGCAAGCTCCATATGATCTGGGGTACAATTTTACTCTGACGCTTGTTGGCTTTGTGTCTGTACGATTGGCCCATTGCTGAAAGTGGGGTGCTCACCTAGTCTGTGTTGGAGCATCTCTTTCCTACTGGTAACTCTCTCACATTTGCTTGCTTTCTTCGTCTCCTAGAGCGGTTAAGTAATTTAGTAGTGTGCTTTCTCTTTATTATAACTCCTACAAAAACATATGTAGAGATTACTTCTTGGAAATAAAAATTTAACATTACCATAGAGATGGAAGCACAAAATATACAAATAAGCTCTACACCTCCATTCCTCCTTACTGAGATCGTGGGGGCCAGCCACTGTATCTGGCTAACATTTCTTACAGCACAGGTCTTGCTGAACGTTCCACTTCTGTTGATCTGGGAATATCTGTTTCTCCTGTCTTTCTACACGAAAGCTTTCCTGGATACAGTGATCTTGGTTGAGCATTTTATTCTCCCTTCAGTACTTACAGGACTCTAACACCATTCTCTTCTGGCCTGTCAAATGACTGCCAGCAGGAGAACTGAGGCACTCTTGCATGTTTTTTCTCATGCAGTCTTGAGACCTTTCTCTTCCTTCTTTCCCTTTAGAGCTTAATTCTTTTTTTTTTTTTTTAGCTTGGGCTAGATTCAGGATCTAGTTAAACTGACTAGTGATCTTGACTTTCCTTTACCCAGATGTGCCCTTTTCTAGTCTCGGGGAACTTTTGTGTTATTTCTTTCAATAAACTTTCCAAGCCTCTTCTGCCAGCAATCCAAATATTTTCTCTTAATGCTGTCACAAAGTCTCTGTAAACTTTCTCCATGATTCTTTCTCTCTCTCAACTGTATATTCTTACATTACCATTTTTAAGCTTGGAGTCTCTATTGTTTGATCTTTCCTGCTGTTGCTTCTTTCTATTGATTTGAATTTTCCCAAATATTTTATTTTTAAGATTCTTCCATCTGTGGTTATATTCTCTGAGTAAGAAAGATTTGTTTTCTTCATCTCTTTGAGTATCCTCATACAGTGGCTACACACGCTCAAGTTTCTCTTTTACTGGTTATTCTCACGTGTTTCTGGATTTGATGAGGTGAGGTCATGCTTTCCTCAAGTTCTTCCTGGGTCATCTGCACACTGAAGGAGTAGGTATTTACAAGTTATTCATTCCACTGTTCTTCATCTGGCTTTGTTTGTGCACGTATTTCCTGATTTCCTAAGCTGGCTACAGTCACCATTTCCACACTGGCTGGTTGATGCCTAGGTCCCGATTTGCAGGGAGTCTGTTGTTAGTGTATGAATTGTTTCACTATAGAGGATGGCCTATGCCGGGTTATCCCAGATATACTTACTCTTGGTGCGTTGTTGAGAAAGAACCAGGAGACTATTAAGCAATAGCAGCAGTCTGTCTTCTTAAACTTCCCTCTGGGGTTGGAGGATGCCTGCATACTTTCCCCATAGTTACCACGATGTGGTCAGGCACTGTGGGATTCTATGTAACTACATGCAGACTCACCACAGATGAACTAACCCCAATTCCATTCCTATGTCATAACCATGACCACTATTGATACTAAATGTAATCTGAATAAATAGCCCATTTAAGACCAACACAACACTGGGGTAGGACCAAGAGTCACACAGCTATAGATTGCCTATTGCTGGAGACTTGTGGTCCAAGATTCCTGCAACTAGCCACAGGTGATGCTAGCTGCAATATTAGGCCAGCATACTGGGGTTATATGTATTCTCTTGGCACTGAAGCTCTTCCTAAGGCTCCATGCATAGGCAGGCCTAGGAATGGGGTTTCATCTGCAAGTTCCAGAGCGATGTCTTCTTGTGCTTACCCTGGCTTCAGTAAATAGGTACTTGAAGCACACTACACTGCACTTGGCCTTCAAGACCAGTGATAGCTTCGTTACAACCTGGTTATATGATCATGGAGACCTGTACAACTTTGGGGAGTGGCATCAGAGCCCACCCCATAGCTGGCAGTGATGCAGACCAACATGGACCTATCCTACTGGGTTGCAGGTCTCTTTCTGATACCAGGGCAATTTCAAAACCTGTGGGCACCAGCTAATAGCTGAGCTGCCTGAGGCTCACAGTAAGCCATATTATCACTGGATTTTACCATGATAAGCCTGGAACTCGGTTTCGAGTCAAAGGCCTCGACTTAATGGGAATTAACTGAGGAGGGCTCCCTTTAATAAAATAGGAAATGCCTCCGCTGGGCTCACCGAAGTAGAAGAGAGTGTGGTGGCAAGGGCATATATTTCTTTTTTCTTTTCTTTCTTTCTTTCTCTCTCTCCCTCCCTCCCTCCCTCCCTCCCTCCCTTTCTTTCTTTTTTGGTTTTTCAAGATAGGGTTTCTCTGTGTAGTTTTTGGAGCCAGTCCTGGAACTCGCTCTGTAGACCAGCCTGGTCTTGAACTCACAGAGATCCACCTGCCTCTGCCTCCCAAGTCCTGGGATTAAAGTCATGAACCACCATGGGACTTTTAGCCTGTCTTTTCATTGTCATGCTAACACCAAGCACTGTGGGCTTTGACTGAATTTCCTTAGCTGTCCAGAGTGTAGTGTTTTTGGTACCTGAACTTGCAATGTCTGTAGAGAGATGATAATTGGAGCATCTTGACTGCCATCTTGTTCTGTTCCACACTTTTTTTTTTAAACAAAGGTGTATTTATTTATTTATTTATTATGTATACAATATTCTGTCTCTGTGTATGCCCTCAGGTCAGAAGAGGGCACCAGACCTCATTACAGACGGTTGTGAGTCACCATGTGGTTGCTGGGAATTGAACTCAGAACCTTTGGAAGAGCAGGCAGTGCCCTTAACCTCTGAGCCATCTCTCCAGCCCCCACACTTTGTTTTTTAAGGGATGAAAAGTACCCAGGATAGGCTTTAATGATTGCCCCAGACAGAATGAAGAGCCCCTGTGATCTGGGAGAGAAAAATCCAGCTTATTCTGGTGCAAACATCCAGGAGTCTAGATCATTTTGCTAATGGTTTCATAAAAGTAACTTTTACCATCTCAGATTCATAAAGTTAACAAAACCAACTTCAGTGAAAGTCAAGTAATATTGACTGAGTACATGGCAGGGACTCAACAAATGTGTAAATCTTTAAAAATATAAGAACTAAACAATGTCTTTAAGGGGGAAAGTGGAAAGTCAGAAAGAATAAACTAATATTTTCATAACCTTTGAAAAGGTTTAATTAAAAAAATCATAAAGATACAGATGCTAAAAGTTCAAGGATTTTGGATGTGCTGGTAAAAAGAGCCACTGGGCTTCTGGGATTATCTAGGATTACAGATTTATCTGCTCTGGGTCTTAATTAAAATTAAAACTGCCCACTGGCTCACATGTAACTGCAGTGCTGTGTATTTGGCAAGCATGGAGGCCACAGGCACACAAATGCTGGGCTACAGGAAAGGGGTGGCTCTTCTGGCTCATGCTACTTCCAGCCTAGCCCGTTAGCTTGGAAACCCCATCACCATAAAGGTCTCAGCCTGCAGAGAAACAGGAGACGGAGAGACAGCAACAGCATGAAGGTGACGGCTCTACCATACAGTCAGCAGACCGTTTCCCTCTCTTCCTCTCAGGGTCAGTGAGTTTCCTAACTTTCCCTAGTCACCCAGGACCCAGCAGGAAGAGTTGCGTTCCCCACCTTGGGCATGAGCTGTGAGGCAACAAGGGTGTTGCTGTCCAGCATGCAGTTACACACGGTGTCTCATTTAACAGCAAGATTCTTTGTGTAAGAAAAGACAAAGCTTGCTGGATCAATTCCATTGTTTTAGAGCCATACCTTGGGGAAAAAAAGCCATTTAAGATTATTTGAATCCCCCCCCCCTCTAATCCAGGTGGCCAGGGTCTGCCTCAAACTCATAGCAATTCTCCTGCCTCAGCCTCTAGGTGCTGGAGATTATAGGCTTAGAAGACTATGTCTGCCTTTTTAAAAAATTGTTTTTGAATATGGCAAATTCTGTTTTTCCAATTCACCATTGTAAGCTGTTTGTGTTAGGTCCATATACTTATTAGTACTAAGGGGATTAATAATCAAGATTCCAAGACCCCCAGAGAGAAAGGCACACAGTGACACAAAGCACTCCCCAGAGACAAGTCAGCAAACTGCTGGAAAACAGAGCTTATAATAATGAAAAAGGCCAGAGTTTTGAAACCAATCACTTATTTTCTTTTAAAAACACATAAGCACATTAACCATCTAGAAACTATAGAACAGTACCACATTGTGCATTTAACCTACTTATCCAGAAAAGAACTCCACAGGTCATAAGAATTCTACCCATAGAAGAAGGAAAAAGGAGACAGCTAATAGTATAGTCACAGATACGACGTGAGTCCAAGCAAGCATTGATTCTTTGACGTCACCTTTTCCATTCACCATAGTGGAGAGTAGGGAAGAAAGCAAGGGGGCAAATGGGGCAAGAGTCACCCACAGAGGACTAATCACAATCCATAGTTACTCTTGACAACTATAGCTCAGGGAGTTACAGGACAGCATCATCTGACCAACACGGTGTGGCAGGGTGGAGGAGTGTGTGTGTGTGTGTGTGTGTGTGTGTGTGTGTGTGTGTAACACAGTAGAGAGAGGACTTGAAAGAAAAATAACAAGTTTCACCCCATTTCCGTCCTGCTCTTCACTGATACAAGCTCCTGTGCTAACCCAGAGTCTTCACAATGTGATAAAGCTTCAAGGGTTTTGTTCTTTTTGCAGATGAAACAGGAGTGGTTTACAATTTTACCTTAACAGTTCAAACAATAACAATGTCACAAAAACTCCTTCTCCATGTCCACAGCACACTAGTCTTGTTAAGGATGTTGGGAGAAGTGTAGGCAAGAACTTCAGGAATAGCATTTGAAACAGGGAGGCAGGACCCTGCCCTTTCTCACAGGTCCACAGCCATCCAGCAGTGCTGCTAGCTGCCCTCTGACTCGTCATGGCTCACATGGATAGGCGTGAAGTAGAAATTAAGTTCAGAGGTATACAAGATGAGAATCAATAGACACCGAATCCAAGGCAAACAATAGGTCATTTGATTGTCCTCCTAGGTTGATGGCACCATACAAAAACAAAAACAAAAAAAAACTGAAGCTGGCATTGGTTTAATAAAATAATCCAAAGGTCTGCTACAAGGAAACACATTCAGTTATAAATTGATAGGATTCTCCCCACTTCAGGGAAAACTCATCTTGTCCCCATCACTTCCTCATCCACCACAAGAAAATACATTTTGAAAGTTGCTTCCGGGGGCAGCTCAGTATCGGCTTTGAAAGTTTGTGTGAGAAAGGCATCAGCACCTCTTCTCCATCAGGCAAATGTTTGTACTGTCTGACTTCAGCTCTTTCAAATCAAAGGAGATGCTTTTTGCTACTATTCATTGAAGAGTGTGGTTAATGCAGGCTAGAATGCTGATTTGTCACACAGCATGCCACAAATGGATGCTACAACAGAACCAGCTCTGTCCCACACAACCACATGTTCTGACACTGTATAAACTTGAAATAGGCATGTTGGGAGCTCTAGGATTTAATATCATGACTGATAGCAGAACCGCAGAAATCCATGTTGAAGTGAATGACCAGTAAAAACCAATTAGACCAAGTAGAAAACAGATCACCATTTTCAAAATTCAATCTGAATTTCTATTTTCACCTGGTCAATAATGACACTGGTTTATTAGAGTAAAGTATGGTTTCTGTAGTTGAGGGAGATCAAGATTCAACATGATCAACTTTTAGTCTAAGAAGTTACCTTAATTTTAGACACCAGAGCACACTGTTTATAGTAAGATGTATCTATTAAGAGGGAGGCAAATTTTATTAAACTAGTAAAAGAATGATAACCTAAAACATATTGATGAAATAGTATCATCACTTCAGAGAATCCCAGGGGTTTACTATAATGTCACAGACAGTGTTATTTCTAAATTTTTTCCTTAGAATAAGAAATCTCTGTAGTTACTGCATGGAAAATTGAATTTAGGTATAAAAAACTATTCTTAAATGATGCAGTGACAGGAAATGGAGGCGTAGAGGGACAGAAAGGTCATGTGATTTACCTAGTGCCCTGTTCCTGCTGCCAAGGCCCAAGTCTTCTCTGTCATCTCCAACTCAGTGCTAACATGTTTCTGTGCGGCTCAGTTCCACTCTTGCCTTGCGCTAGGTCCATCTATTTGGAAACTAGGGAGCCATGTTGGGAAGACACCACCTGTGAACTAACGCCACTGAAACAGCAGCGCTCTCATTCAGAATGCTGGGAGTCATGGCTCTAGAAGTGGGGCCTCCTCTAAGAGTTCGTCCAGGTTCTTGCTGAGTTACTGGCATTCTTTCACACTGTGTCCCCGAACCTAAGCAGTCTTCTAATAATAGGGTGCTGGAGACAAAAAGCCAACATGACACACGTGACTGTCACACCAAATTATCGGATGACTTCATCTCTGATCACGCCTTTGTCTCTGTATGAGAGGACATTATCAATGATCCATTGTCAAGCCTCTGCTTGACAGCAGAGGCTTATTGGCAGCTTCTGCTATAGGTATTCACTTGTTAAGAACAAACTGCTAATAGCTCTTTGTACTCCTTTGCTTTCTACATAGTATAAAATGAAAAACAGACTTTATTCTCGATTTTGTTCCTTTTGGGAGTATTTTAAGCACTACTAAAAATGGAGTCTTTTTCAAATAAAACTAAAATTAAGGACTAGTCTGTAACATGACTGTGGTATGGATTCACTTCTAAGATTTTCATCAGGAGTTTCAGGGTACAGGACACACTGTTCACAGTGCTCAGGGCAGATGAAATCAAGGTGAGAAAAATGCACATTGCCTTTTTGAAAGGAAAAACTGAAGTGCATGCTTGCTTTCCCAAGGGAGATGAAGCTGCAGCATGTAAGCAAGTACTGGGCATCTGCCGTGGTAGCTGGAGAACATGTTAGCCTTACTTCGAGTAGGCAACAGGACAAACACCAAAAATGAATACACTCTATCACTGCATTATTTATGAAAGAAATAATACTGATTAGGGCCTGGATCCTAACAGGGGAAGAAAGACCAAGTTGACCACATATTAACTGATGTGAAAGCATCAAGGAGTTGGAATGGTGGAAGTCAACTGTGTGAGTTTCTGCATGTCACACACAGACTGACTACCAGAGAAAGAAGCCGCCAATTCATATGGCTCTGGATACACAGTACCACTGACTTTATTTGTACAAGAAATCATAGGTCACTGGACTTTTCTATAGAGTCTTAGTACTTGCTGATGTTACCTCAGAGACCAGTGAGATTGATCACCTACTTGAAAGTACAAAAACCCAGGTTAGGAAAAAAAAAATTCTAAATAGAAATAATGCAACCTTTAATTTACAAAGGGTCTCTAAATTGTTACCACTGATTATTATAAAGCATACAATTTATTTAAAATTTGTTTTTTTAAAAAATAAATGTTTCTTCTTTAGTTTTGGGGCGAGGGACATGCTTGGCATAACAAAATGCAAGAGAACCTACAACATTGGATGTACTTTCGGGGATATGAATGTATGTGTTAAAATCTCAATTCTGAAAGAAGAAATTGGAACTCTGTCAGAATAAAAATGAAAGAAACCCTTTCTATAAAGAAGCTGATGAGTTAATAGGTGGAATTTTAGTAGTGCAGTAACTTTAACGAGGGATTGTTATGATGCATAGGCAGGGCTCACGACAAAAGGGAGGTTAAAGGGCAGCAGCCAACTTTTTAAAACAAAGCAAGTGTCGATGGCCATCTTCCTAGTCATTAGTTCTCTGTCTGTAGTTAATGTGAAAAGGGCAAGTGAATGAATTCTGATGGCTCTCCTAGATCCCAGGGTTGGGGGCACTAAAGTTGACCTTACCTTTTCCTAGTATTTATATTAATTTTATTAAAGAGTGGTTTTCCTCCCCACCCATGCTGAGAGAAAACCCAAGGTCTCAAGAATGCTAGGCAATTACTGCTACCAATGATCTATACCCCTAGTTCTGAAGAATAGTAAATTTGATACCAACCATTTCAAGAAAGTCAAATGTATGTTTTTAGGTTTCTCTAGAGAATTTAGGAAGATGGGATGAGATAAAGAAATAAAAATGTATATTTATAGCCTGAAATTTCTAAGAAATATAGTTTTAAAAGTATGGCCAGGTTTAGAGGCCCCAAATTTAAAAGGTTTCTATCATGGGGGGTCATAAAATCCAACACTCACTTTTTAATACTGCTGGCCTTAAAAATGGCTGCCAAGGTAAGTTGAAGGAGGAAGGATTTGTTCTACATGCTCAAAAGTACAGTCCCCACCAAAGACTTTTAGTTTGATCAAATTCTGGGTAAGGTAGATGAGATCAGAAGGGGAAATATTTAATAAGGGTGTGAAGAGTTTGAAATTAGGCCTGCCTTTCCAGTCAGTCAGGAGAACTCGGACTCACTTCTCCTCCATGCAGAAGCAGATGGCAGAACTTCATTGTTGGGACTGGTAAATGAGCGAGTCATGCACCTGTCCCTAAAGACACAAGTATCAGAACCTTCGCTCTGAATGTCTACCAGTGGGAAGCAAGTGGATGCCAGGTCATGACAGTGACACTTGGAACTCTAGAGCAGCAACTTAAAATTTAGCAATAAAACTTTGGCTTAAAGTTAAAACGAAAGAGGAAAAGTACAAACTGGTACAAACTGTTTCCTGGAAAAGGTATGCGGGCTTGACCTTCCCAAATACCATCTACCCTTAGTTCCTCCTGCCTCCCTTCATAGGAGGAGTATCATTCATTTATGGTTAAGTTTCATAAATAATGAGAAGACCATATGTAACAAATACATCATATTCCCCGCCCACCCAAAGCCCTCCCCAAATGAGAAAACCCACATCAAATTAAAAAGTAGCTTCGTGGAGGAGGGTGCTGCTCCAAGCTGCACTTTCCCTGCAAGTGCTGCCAGTGGCTCTATGCTGGCTAGGAAGGAAGGGAAAAAGCTCTCCACAGAAACTGACAGAAAATTTAAAAACCAGTGTCCGGTTTCAAACAGTCAAAACCGGGCTAGGCGGAAGCTGAGTTATGTCCATTGCCGTCCATCAGAGGCCTTCTTCCAATGCCTGTTCTTCATCCTGATGGGCATCTGTGTCTTTGTGATTGTAAACAATCCGTAAGATATTAGGTTTTTGTTCCTTAAAACATCCTCTGATTGGCAAAATGAAGTTTTTGTTTTAAAAATAGAAAATGAAGATTAAACCAGAAGAAAAGAAAAGAAAAGAAACACAGTGAGCTTGCTCGAGTCCATAGGACCCGATCTGAAGAGCCCGGGAACGTGTTCTGTTTTCTCCTGTTCTCAGCTGGAAAAAGGTGCTGGAGGTTGCGTTGGTCAAGGGAAGAATTGTAGAGTAGGAAACCAAGGATGTTAATCGAGACTTCAGAGAATTCAAGTGTTAGCTTCGTCGTCTGTATCTTCTATCAATACCTTAGTGTCTCGAGTCTTGGATCTAGGGTAATCAGAGGAAATAAACATGTAACTGATCTCATACAGTGCTCATCTTAAACAGGAACTATCTACTGCAAGAACAACAGTGGGTTATGCTTAAACATCAGAGTAGCTCTCAAAAACAAAGCCGGGAGTTTGAGTACCGACTACCTAATGATAATGCAGGTGCCTCAGTTAAATGGTTAGCACTGTTGATTGTCAATTGGCACAAAATGATCGGTCTTAGGACTCTGTGCAGAGATTCTTGTACTGTGTGAAATGGGATTAAGTAACATGAAAACGTCCTGCAACTCGTTCGCCCCAAGTGTGAAGGTAGTGTCTGTGAAAGGAGACTATTATTCCCACTTGGCAGATGGGGAAGCTGACATTCAGAAGGTGTGCCACAGCTGCTTGAATCATAGCGTCAGAACTCAGACTCAGCTTCCCTGCACTTTCTGTACCATAAACCTCTACCTCTAAATGCCGTCATCCTCTGGTTGCCATCTAGTTTCCCGTTAAACACCTGAAGTGACCATAATCTGGGGCCTAAGAGCCCCATTTCTGAGACAGAAAGTGTGTTTAGACTGCCCTCTGCTGGTAGCTCTGAAACCTTCACAGCGAGGAATTCTAGTCCGCCAACATTTTCTTCAGCTCTGAGGCCCCTCTCTTACCTAGTCAGTCCCCAGAGTCCCAGTCTGTCAAAGCCTTCCTTGGCAGAAGCCTGGCTTGATTCGATGCTCTTCTGGCTGACTTCCCTGTTGACTTCTGCTACTTTGCTCTTCCTTTTGCCCAAGACTTCCTTCAGCTTCCTGCTTCCTGCCTTCTCTATTCTTTCCAATCTCTAGCTAAAGCTCGGCAGGACTTTGTCTACTTTCCCGTGCTCAGCGGGCTACAGCACCTTCTGCTCGCGCCCTTCATGTTCCTTCTAGTCCTACGTTAAGATCCCAATCCAGGTCTTTACTGCCCCAACTTCCTACCGCATTGTGCAGTGTCATTAAAATCTCCTTTCATATCACTCCTCGGAAAGAACATGTTTCTTTCTTGCCTACAAAATGAAGCTTGCAGTTTTTAGTTTTTGGCTATTTGTTTCTTTTTTTTGAGTCAGGTCTAGTCTTGAGCTTGCTATGTAGCCAAGGATAAGCATGAACTGATCCTCCTGCTTCCACTGTCTAAATGCCTGGCCAGTCTGACAGTTCAAGTGAGTGCACCCAATTATATTTTCTCACTTCAGTTCTGGACACACGCTTTTCCTTTCTACCCTTCATTTCCACTCATAGTATTATCTAAACATTCCCTACCTTTAGAAACTGCTTAGCTTCAGTCTCTTTCCTTCCAGTCTGCTATCTGTTCTCTCTAAATTTCATTACCCAGGACACATTCCAGAAGTTGATCACACAGAGTGGCTGGTTACTACTACTGTCTGGAGAAGAAGCATGGCCGAGTATCAGCAAGTTGCTGATTCATCTGGTTCAGTCTAGGGCTTGTTAGCTAATGTTATGTGATGTTGAAGACCAAAGAAGTACTCTACTCAGAAGTGGTGGCTATACGTACTGGGATGCGAGACGAGGCCGGCGCAGGGATATGCTCTGGTTGTACTTCCATGACCGATTCTTCTGGCGGTTTCGCACCCCATCTTCCTGGTCCATCATCTGCTCAAGGAGTGTCTGATCATCTGCATTCAGGGGGGCCACAGAGATGTCCCGCACGGCACGAAATTCACCACAGTTATTTAGATGCTCGTTCTCCAGGCGGAAGAAGTTCCATACAAATCGCCTAAGCAAAATGGGGTAGATGCATTCAAGTGAAGATCTGAAAATATTACCTCCTGTAAACTTTCAGGAGACTCAAGTTCCTGCTCACTGAGAACAAAACAAAACAACAACTACAGGCTAGAATATTAAAATCAGAGGGCTAGGGAGATGATGATTCAGTTGGTGAAGCACTTATCTCACCAGCACGAGAACATGAGTGTGGAAACCCAGAACCCATGCAACAAGCCAGGCACTGTGATGCACATTCAGAACTCCAGCAAGGGCAAGATGGGAAGCAGAGACAGGTAGATCTGTACTGGACCAGAAGAGCCAGGCTAGCCTACTTGGTAAAGTTCCGGGTTGATGAGAGACCCTGTCTCAAACAAAAGGTGGAATGGAAAACATGGATTCTGAGAAGCTGAGTGAGGACAGGGCTTTGCTGGAAGATAAAAGATAAGTACAGAGGATCAAAGGCAAGACTTCAAAACAGCATAATCTGGGAGCTTCAACTCTAGAACATTGTCTACGTTCTAATCGTGGCTCCACCACTACTAGCTATAAAGATGATGGATGAGTTTCTCTGCCTATGCTTCTCTGTCACCAGGAAATGGTGTAACACTGAAATGTCACCCTGGCTGGGCAGGCCGAGGGACAGTGACAGAAGTATAATTGGTACTACAGAGTACTTGGTCTATAACTCTTATTACAGATCATTTAAAAATGGATTTGACTGCGGGTCAGTGAGAACGCTCAGCAGGTAAAGGTGCTTGAGGACAAGCCTGCTAAACTGAGTTTGATGCTGGAATTCCACAAGGTGGCAGGAGAGAACTGACTGAGTTTCACTCAGCCCTCTACACTCTCAGTGAGAACGGCATGTTTAGGCTTATACTCACACGTGCATACGCATAAGTAGTTTTTAAAAGTGGCCCAATTCCTGTGTTGGGAACAAATACAAGGGTTGAAAGGAAGGACAGAGAGAAATGAGAGCAGAGACAGTCAAGGGCAGAGAGTGGTTACTATGGAGGGTTTGGACCTCACATACAGATGTTTAGGGGAATGAAGAGGGGGCGAGGGTCCAGAGGGGTCAGTGGCACCCACAAACAAGCACACTCTGTAAAGAGCCCTCATTTGCCTTTCAGGGCTAGCTTTGCTTCCAATCCTATGTTATTTATCAGGCTATGTTTGTCTTTCCTGGCTCGCAAGAACACCATACACCTTTCTAAAATATCTTTTTATCTTCTCATTTGTGCAAGCTATCATCATGGATGAAGAGTTGGAGGGAGGGAGGCCTTCACTTTTCCCCAGCATATTTAAGACATGCTTTTTGACTTTCACTGTTACTGTTGAGGAGTTACCTGTCAGTCCAACTGCCACTTATTTCTCTAAGGTTACTTAAAAATAAAGTAAATGTAGGCCAGTGAGATGGCTCAGCAGATGCCTGCTGCCAAGCCAAAGGACTCAAGTGCCATCACTGGGACCCATATGAAGGAGAGAGCCAGTTTCTATAAGCTGTCCTCTAACCTCCACATGTGCATGATGACACACATGCATCCATCCATACACACACACATATGTACACAAGATAATTATAAATATGTAATTCAGAACAAGCATATCACATACACCTCAAAGTTTGCATGTTAGTATATAGCTTGGCTAATTATACAAAAATACACTGCATATCCAATATCCTGAAGTATGACACACAATACTACACTGAATGCCACCTCTAGGGCTCTCTACCAACATTTAGAAAGCTTATGTGCTACTCTTATTTAGCTCTGTAACCTCCCTGTAATTGATTCTGTATACTGAATGTGACAGGCGGCAGGATTTATTTTCTTCTATATAGTCAGATGACTTATGTTTTATTTATTTATTTTAAAAATTTTCTTATTTTTTAAAAAATACTTTGACTTTTTTATCTTTAAGCCCTTTCATTCTTAAATTCTTCTTCTTTTTTAAATTTATTTTTATTTTAAATGCATTGGTGTTTTGCCATGGGTGTTGGGTTCCCCAGTATTGGAGTTAGAGACAGGTGTGAGTTGCCATGTGGGTTCTGGAATTGAACCCAGGTCCTCTGGAAGAGCAGTCAGTGCTCTTAGCCACTGGAGCCATCTCTCCAGACCTCCTGACGCATGTATGATGTCCTCTCTTCACTGTTAGGCAGCTACATTTATCAGCAGGTGGTGTCATGATTATGGGTCTGTCTCTAGATGCCCCACTCTGTTCCAGGGACGTCTCTTGTTTAACCTCTTACTAACACGGTGCACAGCCTTCTTCTCTCTGTATGACCAGTCTTCAACTTATAACATTACTCTAGCCTTGTTCTTTTTAGAATAGTCTTGGTTATTCTTTGTGTTCCTATATAAATTACAAAACTATCAGGCATGTTTGTCATATAGGTATAATCCCAGCACTTGGGAGGGAGGCAGCATGGAATTGGAAGCCAGCCTGGGTAACTTAGTGATACTCCATCTGAAACGCACACATGCATGCATGCATGCATGCACGCACACACTTGCGTCACTATAGAATTGGCTTGTCAACTTTCACCCATACACCAATCTCTCATTAGATTGACTTCTGGGTGTTTTAATGTACTTGGCATTATTAAAGGACATGGATTAAGGTCTTTAGAACCCTCCTCATTGCACTACCCACACTTGCAGCATTATGACGGTAAACATAACTGTCGACAGCAGACATCACCCTAGCCACAATGTGTTTATGTGCTTTATGATCTTTTAGGAAAAAGTATCAATTTTTAAGTTGCTGAAATTTTTGTTTGTTTGGTTCTAAAATAGGCTTTGCCTATGTTGCCCAGACTGACCTCCAACAGTCTTCCTGCCACAGCCTTTAAACCAGCTACAACTAGTTGGACGGAGGTGGTGCACACCTTTAATCCCAGCACTTGGTAGGCAGAGGCAGGCAAGTCTCTGTGAGTTCAAGGCCAGTTTGTTCTACAGAGTGAGTTTCAGGACAGGCTCCAAAGCTACACAGAGAAACTGTCTCAAAAAACAAACAAACAACAACAAAAAACAAAAAGACAAACACAAACCAAAACCACCACCACCACCAACAACAACAAAAAACAGCTACAACTATAAATAACATACTCCTTTGCTCAACCAGGTATTGTTAACAATGGCCTTTTCCACATGTCACAGGCTCCTTTCTCTTATTCTCTTATTGAGTTAAATGACATGAATTAATTTTTGAACATGTGATAGTCTGAATAAGAATGGCCCCCATAGGTTCATATATTTGACAGCTTGGTCCTTAATTGGTGAACCTGTTTAAGAAGAATTAGGAGGAATGGCCTGGTTGAGAAGGTATGTCACTGGGGATAGGCTTTGAACAATCAGTCTTAATTTCTCTGCTCACTGCTTGCGGATCAAGATATAGCTCTTAGCTACTGCTTTTGCACCATGCCTGCCTGCTGTCATGCTTCCTGTCAGGCTGATCACATACTGATCCTCTGAAATGAAGTGACGCTCCAATTGAATGTTTCCTTTTATCAGTTGCATTGGCCATGGTATCTCTTCACAGTAACAGAAAAGTAACTAAGACCAATATTAAACCTTAATTCACAGAATGATCCTAAATTTTGAAGTATTAACCTTTGTAGATGCTACTGAACTTAATGGCTAATGCTGTGTTCAGGATTTCTGCAACTATGCTGCAAGACAACAGTGAGGCACACAGGGTCACTCTAGGAATATTCTTGGAGGTTCAGACGACTGTCATGCTGGCCTCATAGTCCTTAGTTTTCCCTTTCTTTTGAAGTGTTTTGTAAAAAAACAAAAATTTTGACTTCAACTATTAGAAAGAATTTCTGAGTCTGGAGTTCTCTTCATGAGAAATATTTTGATATTGATTTAAATGTTGATATTTTGAAAGATACAGATTTCTCAGATTTTCTATTTTCTTATTGATTATGATATTTTGAGGAATTTGACTACCTCATTTAATGGCACTTATATCTCTTTAAAAACCTTCAGAATTTCCCTCCTGTTCAGAGATGGGATGCAGAGCATTGAGTACACTGGTCAAACTCTGCCTCTTAACCACATCCTAGCCTTCTTTAGGGTTTCTGCTGGATGTGTCCTCTTCCTCCCTTTTTCTCTGGATTAGTCTTATGTGAGCACTTCATCAATTATTATTCTTTTAAAAATTCTGTTTTTAATATTCTCCACTGCACATCTGTTTTCTATCCTGGTAATTTCTAGTCTATATGTTTCTTTCTTTTAGGTTTGATTTGCAGCTTTAATTTTTTATAATTTCTTAAGCTTTCTACTTTTCTGATACATATATTTATGGTTTTTTGCAGTGGCTTTTTAGTTGCATTTTCATTTTTTTTTGCTATCACTTTCAATTTCAGTCTATTAAAATATCTTAACAATTTTGTTACAATTTTAACTTTGACTTCAGGGCACTAGACATCACAATGATTTGAGTCTGAAATGTTCCCAAAGGCGCACGTGCTGAGTCTTTCCAGTATTTGAAGGCTGTGGAACCTGTAGGAGGTGGGGCCCTGGCCAGAGAAGATCACTGGGATCTCTGAAATTTACACTTGCCCCTAGTTCTGAGTTCCACCTTCTGGTTCCTGGTCCATCGTGATGGACAAGTCTTCGGCACATGCTATGTCACCCTGCCTTGTCATGCCACCCCTGCCATAAACCCAAGTTTCTCTGAAACCGTCCTTTCCACGCTGTGCCTTTTGGTTCTCTTTCACAGTGAACAGTGATAGCACAAACATGCTTTGGTTCATTTCTAAACAATTGCCATTTTTAAACTTATCATTTTGTGATTTTTAATAATAATAACAATTATTATTATTATTATTATTGAGACAAAGTCTCATATGTATCTCTGGCTGGTCTGGAACTCTATATACAAACTAGGCTGGCCCTGATCTCACAAGAATATACTTGCTTCTGTCTCCTGAGTGCTAGGATTAAAGGTGTGCACTATCCCATGCCCAAACAGTTTTTATTACATCTAATTGTCTTCTTTGTTTTTGTGTGGGCAAAAAGACCATAGCTCATGTGTGGAGGTCAAGGACAACTTCTTCTACTATATGGGTTCCAGAACTGAATTCAGATCATCAGACATGGTAGTAGTAAGTACCTTACCTGCTGAGTCAGCTTGCTGGCCCAGTACTGGGCATCTTTTAAAAGAATCCTTGATAGATTGTTCAATAATTTGCTTACCGGAAAACCTCAAGGGGGGCAAAGACAGTAGCAATGATGTCCCCAACATGAGGCTGAAAAGTCGTAGCAGTAATAGAGATTTGGATAGTCCAAGCAAAGCGCAGTATCACATCTTCTATGATGGCACAGTAGTAATAGGCCTAAGAAATACAAGGAAATAGAGTATATTTCTCACCACTCTTCTTACAAAGTACCCCTACACCAGCTGGTAAGACTCACAGATATCCCACCAACAGATAAATAGGGAAACATTACATAGGTTTTAGTTTCCCGAAATAGTGCAATATTTAAAATGATGATGTAGTACTGAGTTTCAGAAATCATTTAACAAATACAGTTAATGTCCACATTGTACACGAGCCTCTCTTGTAAATTAAATGAGACCCCTGATCAACTGAGATTGTAGTCTAGGAGAAGCATGGTAAGACGATGACTAAGTCACTAGTACTAAAGAATATTAGCAGATTTATTAATTGTACAATTTGTACTTAAAATTCCAAATTTCTTTATCCCATATATAAACAAGCTTTGTCTTGTTTTTTTATGTTGATAAATCAAATGATAAGTATTTCGCAAACACGGCTGAAAATAAGATAGTATTCAACTAATCCAGTTTAACTACACAAAAGTCTTAAAAATACAAACTGCCAATAGATCCCAAAACTCATGGATTTGTTTATTACTAAGCAAAATTCGCACTTCAAAATGTATTTAAAGGTTGTGTCATTTTGATAACTAGAACTGCTATGTAGTAAGCTGTATTAATTTACTTTACTTTAGAAAGTATTGCTCTTTTATGTGTGCGAGTGTTTGCTGGCATGTGTGTATGTGCACTGTGCCTCTGGAAGTCAGAGAAGAACTGGAGGGACAGGTGGTTGGGAGCGGCCATGGGTGTTGGGAACTGAATGTAGGTCCTCTCCAAGATCAGTAAGTGTTCCCATGCCCTGTGCCACCTCTCCAGGCCTGTTTAATTTTTAACAAAGCGTATGAGTCACCATCAGAGGGCTATTAATAGGAATTGACAATTGATCCCTGTACTTCTCTTCCATTCCCCAGAGACAGTCATTTGTAACTATCCATTCCATTTGCCCTCCATAACTTTAAGTAATGTATTTAATGTTTTGACTAGTCAGTTTTAGACATTATCAACTAATTGATTAGGTTTTGTTGTTGTTGTTGTTGTTGTTGTTTTGTTTTTTTGAGACAGGGTTTCTCTGTGGCTTTGGAGCCAGTCCTGGAACTTGCTCTTGTAGACCAGGCTGACCTCAAACTCACAGAGATCCATCTGCATCTGCCTCCCGAGTGCTGGGATTAAAGGCATGCACCACCACCGCCTGGCTAATTGATTAGTTTTTAAATTAAAATTTTAAGCAAGCATACAAAAAGCAGTAAGCTTCAGTAGGTATTTTCAGTCTTTATTTGTATTCACCCCTGACCCATCTCTTTGTCCTTCTCCCCTTTCCCTCAACAATAGCTCCACTTTTATTTTCATGCCCCATGTGTGTCATCATTTTCATCTCCCTCCTCCCTTAAGGTCTTTTTTTAACCTTTTCACAGGCCCCTTTCCAGTTTCATAAAACACCCCCAACAATGTAGGTTCCGCACATGCGAAAAAGCAGGTAAAATTTTTATGAGGACTGTGACAGGATTTTATAATGAAGGTTCACTGGACTTCACAAATAGTTTCCTCACTTTTTCCTTATAAATTTGCAACTATAACTTAAGAAAATTTATACTTTATTTTTTATGGCATTAAAATAATAATAAACTAATTGAAAGATTCTACTCACTAATTTCATTACAAAGAAAACAGTAAATCAGAACTCATTTAAATAGAAAATAGCCTAACATTTATGTAAAGATACAACGAAGTGAAGCAATCACCACAAGTAACAAATAAGTGCAGAGTTCACCAAACACCACACGCACTAATAAAAAGCACAGACGTGGTGAATAGAAAAGGCAGCTTTAACTGAATTCATAATTATTCCAATTGTTGGTCTTCTTTTCTTTTTTTAAAATGGCACTACAGATTAATCTGTATATTGCTCCTGCTAGTGCTTTACCAGCATGCTACTGCCTGGCCCCAACCCATTCATTTTCCTTTTAATTATGAATTATAAAAAAATGTTTAATGCCTTAGTCACAGCCTTCTCTACTCCATACTATTCAATCATATACTTTTCAAAATACAGATATGATGTAATGGCAACATTTGGGTATGAATTATATGTTTCCATAACAGAATTTTAGGCCTGAGAATATATCAAGAGCTAATGTAGTCTATACCCCTTCAGTCTGGCTGACTAAACAGCTTAGTTAGTAATACAGCTGGGATTGTAATACATATATATATATATGTATGTATATATATATATATATATATATATATATATATATATATACCCAGATTCTAAGCTCATTGTTCAATTTTTTTCAAGGTCTAATCATGGTATATATAGCTTTACCAAAGCATCTGTATAAAGACAATTTTTTTTATTTGAAATTCAGCTTCCCATTCCCTTTATTCTAATATGCCAGTAAAACACTAAAATGATTCCTATAGAACTCTACTTTTTTCCCAGTTGGGTTGGCACTAACAACTACTCATTGCATAGACAAAAGAATCTGCGCACTTGGCAGTCCTTTCCCCATGAGTGTTCATAAAGTTGCTTTTTCAGTCAAGTATGCAGCTACTCATTCGGTGCACACCAAGTCTACAAGAATTATTCTGAGCAGTGAGGAACATGAACACTCAAGCACCATTATAACATAATAATTATATCAAGGGAGATCATATAAGTTAGAAAAGAGAGAGTATAAATGGCCAGACACGTTAAGAAAATAGAGGCTTCTCAGAGCAAGTCACCCTCTCCATTAGTTAGGACACAGCATTGCCATCTGCTTATCTGCTTACATTCCCACAGCATCTACCACATGGCAAACATGATAAATTTTTTTGTGGACTGGGTTGGTATCTTGAACTTTTTTTTTTTTTGGAGACTGGCTTTCTCTGTGTAGCCATCTTAGCTGTCTTGAAACTCACCTGTAGGCCAGGCTTGGCTTGAACTCACAGAGATCCACCTGCCTCTGCCTCCCAAGTGCTGGGATTAAAGGTGTGGACCGCCCAATTGGATAATTGTTTTTTTTTAAAATCATTTTTAGGTTAATGTAATTAGAACTTTGAATCGATACTGCTGTATGATCTAACTACTGATATAGCTATGATTTTTTTTAAAACTCTTTTCCTTAAGTGTGAACATTCCATACATACCTTTTGAGGGTATACAATTTCTTCCCGGAGAAAAGTGTTTTCTCCTGCGTTCTTATCAAAGAGACCCCAGTCCATCTTGAGATCCCAAATGAGGGTATAGCAGGAGCTGATGACACAGAAGACAACCCACAGGTAAAAGAACACCTCAGTGTCTGAGTGCCGTCGTTCTGTAGAAAGAGAAGGAGAAGCAAAATGGACAAGATAAAGTGACTAGACTGAACCAAAAAATAGATGCTTTATAGTGTCCCATAAGAGAAATCCAACTTTTAAAACAAACATCCTTAGCAGAAGAATCACCTAACAAAGGTTAGTAATAAATATGACTTCTCTGAGGTCCAAAATTATACAAATGTTTATTAAGGAGTAAGGATCTATAATGAATCTATAACATCTCAATGTACTCTTTGGATTTTATAAACATGTCATTTAAACTTCTGCCATTAGGTGGCAGCTTAGGGTAAAAGACAGAAAAAAGAAATCTTGAGTTGTTTTTGACTTTAGAGCATTTCCTTTACACACTTTGATCTCGTCAATATTACTGTGAAGACAATCAGACAATTCCAGAAAAAAAATGCCCCAGAACCCAACAGACCGATGAGATATTCACCCTTTATGTTTATGAGAATGAGTTTCCCTCAAGCCACAGAGCTTGATTAGTTTTGCTTCTTTCACAGGGATATTACCAATATAAAGGCCCAATCCATCTTTATACTGATAAACAGTACTTTCGGTTTTATTCTGAGAACACCATAAAGCACACTAAAACAGAATAAAATGATTTGTAAACATAGTAAATCAATTTGATCTTTTTTGGTCTTAAGAGCCTTGTTTGCTCTCTAAAATTCTCCTTCAGTAAGTTCCAGAGTTCCCATGATGCTCTCCAGTTTCAAGACACGGAGAGATAACAATCTGGCATGGAACTGTCAGGAGAAAGAATGGTGCCTGTGATATAGTTTCAAAATCCTTTAAGGTTTGGCCAGTTTCTCAGACTGTAGCATGCACTCTCCCCAATTTGTCCTACTAAAATAAACAAGTATGTATTAATCATTTTAAAGTTATTAATGTGCTGAATACAGTTTGATCCAAAGGTAATTAACTATCTACTGAGTGACAGACATTTGCTACAAGAGTAAACTTGAGTTCAAATGAAGTACAAGGAACTGAAAAAAACATCAAGGAGAATGGGAGTTTCCCACAGAAGGAAACGAACATCAGTAGCATTTGTGATATTGCTAGAAAGAGAAATAAACAGTATTGCAAAAGTCAGGTGGATGAAGTGAGGTCATTCACTCCCCACTGAAGACACTCCCTACACCCCCCCCCCGCCCCCACCGGAGACAAGGTTTCTCTGTGTTATGGTCCTAGCTGTCCTGAAATTGCTCTTGTAGACCAGTCTGGCCTTGAGCTCACAGAGATCTGTCTGCCTCCGCCTCCTGAGTGCTGGGATTAAAGGTGTGCGCCACCACTGCCCAGTTGAAGACACCCTTGAAAAGGTTTGGGGTAGGAAAGTGTGCTATGCTTAAAAAATTACAAGTCATCTACATCTAGGGCAGGGGACACAGAACATAAGACAGTTTGTAACAACCTGAAATGACATTGGAAAAGATATGTAGGATTTGACTGCAGAATGTCTTCTTGGGCCTTAGGATCAGCTCCGTATTTTAGAAAACTAAATGCTTAGACATTTACTAACACCAGAATTGCATAGTTAGAAAAAAAACTGATACCTTAAAGGTCTAGGACAGTCAGAATTAGTATCTATCAGATCATGAGATACATATTGTTTGCTGAAATGATCATTATTAAACATTAAGTCACATAGACATAATTAGCAATATTAAAGTAATAGATACTTGGGATTCATCACTTCTTCAAGGTGCTAAACCTTGTTCTTTTCTACCCTTCCAAGGTTGTATACATTCTGTCTGCATGATGAAAACACTGTACATCTTTTCTCAACTCTACATTCAACATTAGGAGCCTAAAATTGGGTCTGATAGAAAAATTTACATCATGGAAATCAACAGACACTAAAACCAGTGTCCCCAATCTCTAGTCACCAAGAGCTAGCTGGTTTAGTGAATAAACACATACCAGTATATCCCTTGTTTAGCTCCTTTTAGACAGTCAGGAGGAGGGAAAGGCAAGTAATTCTGATTGATCTATCCAAAAAAAAAAAAAAAAGAGCAGAAAAGCTCTGCTTCGACAGAAATTAATTATCAGGTTTAAATTATAGTCATAAAAGTTTTCTTCTTCAAAAGTATACTGATATGAATATTTACATTAGAACACTGAATAGGAGTTTTAAGTGTCTAACACATTACTAATTACCTAGGTATATTTGGATCTGTTCAGAGGTCAGGTAACTAGTATTAGTTATCTGCTTCATGAATGCATTAAAACATGCTCACAATTCATCTATCAAGGGTTCCAAAAAGTAAAGCAAATTCAGGAATGGAATGAAACCCACTCTTCATGTTTCAAAAACAAGATGAACACAGAGATTAAAAGATAAACAATTTGTTAATAAATTATATTAGTAACTTATCAAATAAAATGTTTATGATAAGCCTTATACTCTACAAATATCACATCAACTTTCCCAATAATAATCTATTAATTCGTTTGCTAGTGAGGATTTGCACACAGACTAACAGGTAGGTCACAAATTGGTGTTTATCAAGTGAGTATAGGTACTACCAAATCTTCTACTGAAAACTGATGCTCTTTATTAATTACTGAAGAAATAATCAAATATACATTATTGTCAAAGGAAAAGGAATTATCAGTGAAACAAAACACAGTGTGCTAATTTTCCTGCATTTCTATATTTTATTTTGTCTTCATAGTACAATTCTTAAACTGGTACAATGGTTCAGGTACCTCCCTCTTTCTAGGTCCAATTATTCTATGGAGTTTCTATGAGACAGACATGGAGATTTTACTGACCTTTAAGATAAACAAATATTCTTATATAAGATTTCAAAATAAATATTTTACTTCATAGACTTCAATGATGAACATATACTAAATTCTGGTCTCGTTTTTGATCTTTAACATATCCCAAATAAAGAATGCTTCTCCCTTAAATCTTCCTCCTTCATTGATATTCAGGGACACACTGGATGGGTGTTATCACTTTAGGCAAGCAATTACACCATATTCTCTTTTGGCTTACACTGGTAGTCCACTTTAATAATGGTGAGAATCACAGAAAATCAAGTCATTGCTATTCTACTAGGAGTCTCTCTCTTACTCATCTGCCACATTAGAAGCAGAATATATGGAATAAATTTGTGGAAATGACATCCATTGAATTTAAAATAAAAATAAGTTTTGTAAGAGTTGCATACCCACAGCCATGAGAGGAATGAAAATTGAAGTAAGAGCCAGAGGAAGTGACAGGCAGAAAACCAGAATATCACACAGCACTCCGTCTCTGTCAGGAAGGGTGCTTTAAAGTGAAGGAAAGGAGTAGTCTTTACCCAGAGAGTCCTACTCTGTTAATTACCACTTTTTACACTAAAACTAAATAAAAAATGAAATAGAGAGGGCACTGTTTTCAAAGTCCAAGCCTTGGAGTAAACTGAATTATGCCTGAACTTATCATGTAATAGTCTACATTTATTCCTATAGCCTCCAAACCAAATCACTGAATTATGAGATTAATATCGTTCTCTCTGAAAATTTCAGAATTCTGAATAAATACAGATAATCTGTTACGTTTTACATAACGTAAAAGCCATATGCACTCAGAGAAAATTATAGTTTGCATTTTGACTAGTTATATCCTTCATGATAGTCTCCTGACAGGGAGCAGCAGCGGGCACAGCGCCAGCAGTCATGAGTTCATAACTTCAAGCAGCTGGTCCTCCACAGTGCACAAGCTATGATGTGTGGTTGGTTAAGCGTCCTGAATATATTTTGATTTACAATATTCTCAGTGCACACAGGTTTACAGGACACAACCCCACTACAGAAGTATCAGTACACAGTCACTAATCATTACTGTGTTTTAGTTAGCATGTAAGACTGCGCATAATACTCCTTAGGTGATGACCATCTTTAAATTGAAGCAAGCAAAACAGTTATTTTTATTTTCATTTACAGTTAAAGAATCTAAAGTTCAGAGAGAAAGGAAGCAGAAAAATAACTGGTTTTGAAGTTAAAAGATCTGGGTTGGAATATAGACTCTATCACTTCCCAACCTTGTGGTTAGAGAAGATAAAGTCTTAACATGATTAAGACAAAAATACAACTAACTAGGCCCAAAAATAAAAGAGGAAAAGAAAAATAGCATCCCCATTTAAGAAACTATTTTTTTGGTATTTTGAGACAGGGTTTCTCTGTGTAACCCTGGTGTCCTAGAACTCACTCTGTAGGCCACCCGCTTCTGCCTCCCATGTGCTGGGATTAAAGGCACGTACCACCACCGTGCAGCTCAAGAAACTTTTGTACCACACAGCGTGCTTTCCTGCGAGCCTCTCACATTCAAAGTGAAAGGGAAGTTCTAGCAGCTATAGAGTACCATGAAAATATTTCTAAGATGATGTAGAAAAATGACTTAAACACTATCTATAGAACCTAAAGGAATATCTCTGAGGTAGAGTGATGCTCAGCAAGTGTAAGACCTGGATTCAACCTTCACAACAAAACAAAGTCTAGCCAGGGAGTGGTGGTGCACACCTTTAATCCTAGGACTCAGGAGGCAGAGGCTGGTGGATCTCTGTGAGTTCTAGACAAGCCAGGGCCATACATGAGATTCTGTTTCAAAAAAGCCACCCCCTATAAACCCTAAACCAAAACAACTATATATATATTATTTCAAATTATTTTTGTATATAAAATGATGACTACAGCAATGACAAAGATGATTATTTCAGATGAGGGAACTCACTCTAGCTTTATTTCTGTATTATTTGACAATTATAGTAATGTATATTTATATAGTAATACATATCTATCTACCTAATCATTCATCCATCTACCTATCTCTATATATCTATATTTTGCTTGCATTTTTTTAAACAAGATTTATTTTTATTTTTGGTGTACAGTGTTTGCTTCAATGTATATATACATGTGTCACATTCACTAAGTTTATAAATTTCTTTAAAAGTAGAAGGGAAAAAAGTAGACAAAGGAAAATAGATGTCAGCATGACGAT